CACACCTTCTCATTCAATGCGTTTTCTTTATTTTCATGACTATTTACATTGTAGATTCTCACTGAAGGCATCAAAACTATGAATGAACACATGTGGAGTTATGTACTTAACAAAAAAAGGTGAAATAACTGAAAACATGTTTTATATTCTAGTTTCTTCAAAATAGCCACCCTTTGCTCTGATTACTGCTTTGCACACTCTTGGCATTCTCTCCATGCAGAAGGAATGAATGTTTTTTCCAATATTTATACTTATACAACTATTATATTATTTAAGGCTGCAACTAACAACTATTCGATGATAATAGTAATAATAATAACTTAATGTTTATAGCACCTTTATAGTACAGAATTGCAAAGTGCTTTACTGTGCTTTCCTTCTTCCTTTACAGCTCCTCTAATAATTTTTGTACAGTCCCTTAGTGTTAAGGGTTAGACCAGGCCTCCTGGCATGAGAGCCAGTGCAAGTTATAAGAGAACACTACCCCATGACAGAAAAAGTCTCCAATAATGAATGATCATGCAAAGGCCCTGATCTCTAATCTGAAGAGCGCACACAAACAAAGATTACTGACCCTCCCTCTGAGCATAATAAGCTCAAGGGAAAGAGTCAAAATGACGAGGTCATCATCCCTAATCCAAATAAGGGTATTTGAAAGATCAACAGGGGGAGTTAATTTACTCCCTTTATGTTCAATACTGCAGAAAGTAGAAAAGCTTTTAATTTAGAGTGTTTGTTTTGTGCACTCCATTCTATGGATTTTATATATTTCATTAACGAGTTACAACCACCATGTCTTCCTCTGAACCCAAGAGACTTTACTCATCTCTTTAAGTTCCTTACTAGTTTCCACACTTCAAATAGTGAGTCAAAAATATTTTTCAAAGATATTTTAATGTCATCAGAGCATACTGACAGGGCTACCTTTGGCAAACTGTCCTCAGACTCCAACAGAATGATTGGGGTTAGATCGAGAATGGCCAAAGTGTGTTATTTGTGCTCTGCACCACCAGAGAAATCAATGCAGCTGCAGGGCTAAGGCCAGAGAAGCCCATTGTGGGATTTAGGTAGAGTCCAATCAATCTCTCTCTGCCTCTATCTCTCCCTCTCTGCTCGCCTCTCTGTCTTTCCTTACCTGTGTGTCTGCAGGAGTTCACCAGAGACTGCAGAATCTCTAAACTGCTACAACCTTGCTCTTCTGAAGTTTCTCCTGCACCTTTAGATTTGGGCTGAAACTTTACACTCATACCGCATTTGTCTTGTCAGGGCTAATACAGATTTATACCTGCTTGCATCAGTGCACTCAAAGAGCAATGTAATGATCAGAAAGCAGCACATTGCTCTTTTGTTCCCATTCACGCTGCTTACTTGCATCATTATAAAACAGACATAAATAATGTGATAAAGTATATTTCACATGGGAAATGTAAAGTAAGCAGTGAATAGTTAGCAGTGTTGGCAGCAGGAGGAGGAGTTTCAGTTTCAGGGTTTTAAACGGTGACAGAAGATTGATGATCAGTGTCTGTACTGTACCTGATAGGCTCCTGGTCCTCCTTGTTCTCTTTACTGTGGATGATCTTTATCCCACTTTTCCTGGCCCGCGGACACCCTGAGAGACTGCAGATAAATGACAGTGTTACAAAGTGGAAACACACAGTATGTGTGTGTGTGTGTGTGTGTGTGTGTGTGTGTGTGTG